ACGTGGCAGTATGCGCATTACAAAGAAGTCTTAGATTGTACTTTTGGTTGGATGTCTCTTGCTTTTGCTTCCTCGGTTTGATCCACTGAGGCTCGACAGCAGTGCAACACTCCCAAGGCACCCGCAGAAATGTGCATGTGCATAGTAGCTGAAGTGCAAGGCAAGCAAGTCAATTAGTGGAAGCCTTTACAATTGATACCTGCCTGATGCTGTCATGGAAGTTGACTACGCATCGTGAGCAGGAGTGTTTCCATCACCAGCCATGTATTTTGTTCAGAACATTCAGTGCCATGTCAGACGATCCTGACATCTGTGACATGCAGAGAAGGGGCCAGCAAAAGTGAGTTTGCCAGTGTCAACGACGAAATTGATGAGCCGCGCAACGTTTACCCGTTGATATGCCCACCCGTTCAAACGTGGCCACGGCGGATCCTCGAGTGCAATGCCAGGTTTGGATGCAGTCTGTCCAGCTGGAGAGGGAGCAAGGCGGGTCTGTACAACGTAGACCTGGTGAAAGCATTGTTTTGAGGCTCAAAGTTGGAGCTTTGCAACTGACACCACGCGCAACACACACTTGAAGCACTTCAATCGATAGCTCATCACAGGGATGATCTCATTTGGTCACATGTGCAGACAAGTCGTGAGGGCAGTCAAAGCCAAGCTTCACCTGTTCAAGTCCATGTGAGCCACAATCAAAACCCGGGTAGATGAAGGTTAGTAAGGGACAGTCCCAGCCAGAACTAGTTGCGGCGGCCTTCTTAATTCTTGAAGCATGGTTCTGGGATTACGACCATTTTACTACCGGGTTTTGATTGTGACTCATGCGCTTTGGGATTACTTGTGCCAGGACTGTTTCAGCAAGCCCTGCACTTGTCCGAGGAAGGCCTGAAGGACAGCGACTTGTCATGCGCGTTGGAACTGCAACTTGCTAAGATATGAGTAGTCCATTGATAGCCTGGAAAGACCCACATTGCCCCACAAAACAGGAGGCCCCACCGATTTGCTTTCGGGAACAATGACTTTTGTTTGTGGCCCAGATGGTGGTGAGTCATGTTGATACAGCTTCGTGCGGCAGGGCATGGCAGGGCACTACATTGGTTGTGTTTGTTTTGTCATTCCCCCTTGATTCCCCTTGATGTGGATATGAACAACTCCTAGAGGTTGAGTCAGTGTCTAGGCCGATGGGGATTCAGTCGCAGATGTCAACATTGCCCTTGCAACAATGTCCCTGAGGCACAGGGTATATCGGTGGCGTTAGAAACGCGGGAGTCATTTTGCAAACACGTGACACAAAGTAGCGGTTGCCTGATACTGCCTTTTTGCACGCTCAGGAGCATCCTTCCTTCGCAAAGATGTGGATGATCGGAGGGCAGATCCACACCGAGAAGCTGGGGCGCTCGAATATGATTTGCGGCAATGCCAACACACACACACACACACGCAGCTCTAGGAATGCTTCAGCAGGTTTCAATAGTCGTGGCATTAGCCGATTCCAACTTGAAGAGTGCGTCCTCTCAGGATGTTTTCGCTTGCGAAAGGGAACTTAGTAACAGTTCGAAGTTGATGCTGCTTGTCTCACAGACTGGCTGGGGTGGAAGTACTAGAGCACGTTTTGGGTTGGCTGATTGTTGCTTTTTCAAGTGTCAAAGGCAAGAACAAAGACAATCTGCGATGCAAAGTCGAGTCCAAGGCTTCAGTGTGTTTATAACAGGGAGATTGGAATTCGCTCAACACAAAAAACGAAAACACTCTCTCGGTGTGCGTCCAAAAGCTATTGTCCCTGCATGTCGTTTGGAACCTTGCCCTCCAAAGGTTGATGAGCACCGCAATTCTGGGGAACTCTGGAGAATCCCTGATGGCCCGATAGATGCTTTATGGGGAGCACCCTTAACTGATGAGCGCAAACGACTCTTTTTTCTAAGTGCAAAAGCATGATCGTAAAGTTTGTTGTTTTTGGCCGTTGGTATTGTTCAAAGTTGGACTGATGAATGCGGCCTTGAGAGCAAAGCGCGGGCAATGTGATGCAGTATGAATTTGCTGCTTTGTGTCGGGCGGCAGGATAGCTTCAACGGAGGCTTCCGAACACGCACAAAAGAAGCCTTCTGTTGAAGGGGAATGACCTCCACAGTTCACAGTTCATAGCTAGTTCGTTGCCTGGTTGTCGCTGCCACCCAGCATTACGTGGCCCCTCACCCCTGCCAAGAGCAAAGTGCAAGGGAAGCTACCGTGTTTTGCCTCACATTGGGTGGGTTGAGCAAGGGCAGATTATGAATTTGATGGCATTACAACAGATCCCAAATTCGGATTTGTTTGACCTGTAAACCTCCTGGCACTGGTCCAACATTCCAGACAGTTGACGAGGTGCTTGACGGGAGCAGGTTCTTGATCATTGCTTGCGGTAGCCCATTTTTCCTTGCCCATTGTCCCTACGAGCCGTGGCGAGGAGGAGAGCCTGTTGTGAATTGTTCGAGTGTGCTTGATTCCTCTGCCACATCGCAGTGCGTTCGAGGCTTCTTTCGTAGAGTGGCAAACTTTTGCAAGATATAGACACGCAAGATGAAGACATGCTCCTCGTGGATTCATGGGAAAGGTTGAACAGCAAGGACAAGAATGTGTGTAGGGCGTGGCCAAAGCCTAAGGTCGCCTCCAGAGCTGGCGGAGGTGCCGAGCTTGAATGGCTTATGCGGTTCACAAGTGCTTTTGAGGTGATAGCCTTTTAGGGGAGTTTTACAGCAGGCCCGTATACAACGTCAATCACTTGGTGTGTCATTTTGTCTCACATTGGCTGGCACAGTGGTTCTATGTGATTCACCGTCATGCTGCCATGCCCCTCAGATTACGGCTTTCTCAACAGGGATCCTTTGTGTACATGTCAGCAACGATCGGATCCCTGTGTTTTGTTGAATGCTCTGGAGACTCTGGAGTAGATGTAGGCAACCCTTAGCTTGCGTGCACGCTTGGCCCACCTGCAAGGAAAGCCTCATGGGTATGGGTCAGAATTAAGCCAGGAGGACCGCTGATCTTCTACTTTTCCATTTCCCAGGGCGCAAGCCGCCATTTTGGGGTTACCAACTCGTTACAAAATTCGCCCTGGCCCGAGGCCACAAAGTTCTTCGAGCGAGGCCTTCAGAAGTGCCCCCGTCCGGTGCCTTGAAAGCTGGGCCACAGGACAGGCGAGTCGGAAGGGGCCCACACGGAATAAACCCAGTTATCAAATGCGTTCAGGGGATGTGTTTTCGCTGGAGCAATTGTCGTGGGTATTGATGCTTATGTTTCCAACTGCCCATCATTGCCTACTTCACAGGACATTTGTACTTGAGTGGCCAGCTTGAGACACAGGTATTCGTTGCAACACACGGCAACCAGTCCAGGGCAGGACAGCCGTCCAGGGCCATATCGTGGTCAGACGAGAAAAGTTGCGGGACCTTTCGTAAAGAGATGCGAGGCGAAGTTCACGTGCGGGTTTCACCAAGTGGCAAAGCCTTTGCCACTTGGAAACATCGGCCTAGCCAAGAAGCCTTTTGCAGGTCTTTACTTCTTTGCTAATTTGGCCAGGAGCAAAGAAGATTCTGATTGCTAATTTGGCCAAACAGATCCAAGGTGAGCTGAGGCCACCAGGCTCCCGCGGCTCCCGCATATTGTTTCGTTTAAAGACCGCGAAAGAGGGAGAATGGAGGGCGCAAGCCTAGCTGTGATTTAGGCAGCGTGCCCCTGTGGCTTTGCGCGGTGGAATGCGAGCCCGGCACCAAGTGGCAAACACAGTTGGTTGAGGATTGCCAATGGACCAAATTGCCCGACAGCTCAGTTTTCAGTTGGGTCTATTTGATGCTTGACCGTGCAGATAGCAGTGAAGAGACAAAGCAGGCCAATTGTGGTGTTTTGTCAAGAATGTTGGCTCGCAAGCTGACATCTTAACAACATGTCCAATTGATGTTGCAAGCCTTGCGCAGGAACTGAGAGATTCGTTCATGGAGCGAAACGGTGCCGACGATTCAACGCATGCTTCCTCACCCAAGGATCAAGCAGCAGAAGTACACTAAGGCTGGCTGGAATCTTGCAGCGATGTTGTCAAATGAGAATCCTACAGACTACAGACTGCCCTTTTTCCACAAACTCGGAGGTTGAGTGCAAAGTCAGGAGTGGCGATCCGGGGATGGCTTCGCCGCGCGGAATTCGGGATTCGCGAATCCCAAATCCAACTTTGGGTTTCGGGATTCGGAATTCGCGAATCCCAAATCACATTCTCCAGGAGCTTTTCCGGATCACGTCTCAAAGTCAGGGTGGGGGAGAGATGGTATGTGTGCATGTGTGTGTGTGCCTCAATGCTGGGCATTGGCGCAGGAAGCATGAAGGCTTTGTTTCTGGGTCTGTGTCTGTGTTTGTGTTTGTCTGAGTCTGTGTGTGGGTGGGTGCGCCGCGCGCGCACGTCGCGCTGTGTGTGCGTGCGCGTGTGCGTGTACGCACACACGCACAGTGTGTGACATTGCAAGCCTTTTCCAAATGCCGCTTCGGGAGGCTCGGTCGTTGCTGGAGAAGGCGAGGTTGCGAAACCCCAGCAGCGGACTCAGAGGCGCAGAAGATGGGCAGACGCATCCCTTTTTGTGCTTGTTGAAATGTATGAGATATCTTGCAGCATCCTTAGTTGCACATGATTCACATCGGGTGGAGCAAATGAAAGCAATTCGAAACTATCAGGATCCTTGCAATCATCAGATTGGATGCAAGATAACTTGCAAGCAGCCCGGAGCAAACTGCTTCATGTCGTTTCGTTTGCAACAATATATATATATATATATATATGAGTATCCGACAATATTATTGAATGACTGCGGTTGTATTCGGCGCGACATCACTTAGCTCATAATCTCTAAAACCTATCAAAACCCTGAAAACCGATGGGGGCCTACCCAAGACCGATGCCCCGTAATAAGGGCAAAGACTTGCAACGCTCCATTGTTCGTCGCAAAAGCCTTTTTGGATTTTGCAAGCTGGTTGAAGTCATGGCAGAGTGGACCGGGGAAGAGCGCGTCAAGCTTGGGCTGGTAAATTTCGCGGAGCCTGTGAGAGATGATAGACCGATTTGGCAGACAGAAGTGATAGAGCCTGTGACAGACAGCTGTGATACAGCTTGTTACACAGATGTTTGTGACAGACAGATGTGACAAGTAGCTCTGACAGAGCCCTTGCAGACAGCGTGAGACGAGCTGGAGTTTGTCGGAGCTTCGCCTACTATAGATTGCCAAGTCTGTGACAAGAGGCTCGTAGAAAGAGATTGTGCACCGATTGCTCGTAACTTGCGCGGCGCTTTGTGGCCGCTCAGCACTGTCGGGGAGTAATGTAAAACACAAGCCGAGAGACACCACTTAGACGACACAAGTTCTGGAAACCAAGCACCCCCGACCGATGCCCCCGACCGATGCCCTCCAGATGTGTGACCGATGAGTGCCGTGTGGCCGATGCTGCAGCAAAAGATTAGTGCTCATGAGCAGGAGGCTGCTGAAAGCAGCAGCTCGAGCTCTAGCTCGTTAAGCGCCTCCTGAAAGAAACGTCAGCGGCGTAGTCTTCTGCCAAAAGCTGGTTCCCCACCCTCAACGTGTAAGCAGTTGTACGGGTGTGGCTTGCAGATGTGTTTGGGGTAGCTGTTGGCACGAGCATGCGACACAAAAGGTGGTCAGCGGCCTTTGGCCTCACAGGATTTTACAGAGCTAGCTGCTGGGCCACGAAATCTAAACACTTGCTGCGTGTATTGGCAACGAGGCCTCCCACCATCGCAGGGAAGCCTCCAAAGGCAGATCATGGTTGGAGTGCACTAGACTCCAAAAAGCAGTCATGAAGTCCCCAAAACTTGCACACAGGAGCGCAAGGCGTGCGTACAAGAAAGCTGTGGGTTCCTGAGCACAACTGCGGTTTGCCAGTTTCGCTTCAGCTTCAAATTACAGGAGCAGTTATGTGCCTTCAGTGTTTTCGCGATGGGGGCCTTCCCAATTTTGCGATGACGTATTCGGGAAGTAAGTAATATTGTCCGACACACATATATATATATATATGCATGCTGACAAGGGGATCATGCTTGTTTGCGCATTAGCAAGGGCGCAATCTCCTCAAAACTTACTAACGCCATGATGCAAGCACAGCCAAACGCTTGTTTGAACCAATGTTTGATGAAACCCATGTGCTTCTTCAGTAGCAGAAGCCAATGCGGTTGTTCTTTTTTTTGGGGTAATTAGCGTTCTATGATACGATTCAATGATGTGTCATTGGCTACTTTCTGGAAGTCAACGCATGCTGCTACATCGGTTGAGTCGGGGTTGGCTTACGCATTGTCCGTTCCAAATCCTTCCGACGCCCACTGTCCGACTGTTTTTTCTTGTTGGCAGTATTCCTGCATCAGCCAGGGCATTTATTCTTCTTGCTGCACTCAGAAGTTTGTCCTCGAATCAAGCCGCTTGCAATTCTACTAACACAACGGCAGATCTGCAGTATCATTGGCCGACATGTGTATTGGCCCTGCCTGGTCATCAGTGTGTGCCTCTCTTGGTTGGACATCATTGACCTTGGGTCATGTGCAACAGGACTCCTTAAAAGATACATCTTGCCCATTTTAAACATGGTTTTTTTTCCACCAGAATAAAGGGAAACCACCATTTACAAGGCAATGTTCAGGTGCATGATGTAAGCATCCCTGTGCAATGTAAGGACTATCATGGCCTGCCGGTTTTTGACGATAGGAAAGCAGTACTCAGGCTTTGGCGCTCAAAACAAGTGGGGCTTCCAACCCTGGCTTATGAATTACCTTTTTGCTGGGGTCCGATTTTTCCAGCCTAGCACGGCTTGTCCACTGAGACGCGGACCTCTTGTGGCTGAAAGGCGTCGAGGCGTGCGGGCAATGTAAAGAGCTGCGCATGTATGCGCGTGGTTGTTTACCCTTCATGTTCCAAGTAGACAGAGGGATCATGCCTGCAAGTTCTGTGAAGAGATCCTCATCAGAGGGATGTTCATGTGTAGGCTGTGCTTGCTTTCGTGGTGCTTTCAGAGTTAGTTGCGTCAAGCTTCCGCCCCTCTTACCTCAGAATGTTCCAATGACATGGGTGCAACAATGACTTGGCAGTTGGGTCATCTCCGACCCCGCAGCGACGTTGAGTGTTTGGAGCCCTGACGGGATCCTTTAATCTCTCCCTTTAGCTATTCCCTCTCTCTCTCTCTCTCTCTCTCTCCTCTACTCACAGACACTTGGCCGGGAACCCCCTGGAAAGTGGTTGGTACATCAAACCCCACCTAAATTTTGTCCACCAGAAGGTCCCTAATCAAAATTCATGCCCACTTACGCGTGCTTTCCCCCCCGCAGGTGGAAATCTTAGACGGCAGCGAGCGTCTTTCCCACCACCTCATGAGCAAAGCGCTGCAGGACGGCTCTGGGTCCAAGAAGTATCTGAGAATGTACGCGTTGAATATGGATAAGTTGGGCTTGTTCATTTGGCTGTGGTTGTCAAAACCGTTTTGGGATCCCATTTTGGGGTAGGTGCACCACCCATTTTAGAACCTATTTTAGTGGGGATTGAATGGGATGTTCACTGGGGGTACGATTTGGATCTTGACCCATGGCCATTTGGAAGATGGAGACCTCTGAAATTGAGTTATCCCGTCTTAGTGAAGTGAGGAGCCAAAATGAGCAAAGATGCGAGCTGTATTTGAGAAGATGTGCAGCTACGGCGAGCAACATCCGGTTATGAGAATTGCCATCCAAGCAAATCAGCTCGAGAACTCTCGACACATCTCAACATTCCAATCGTCTGAACACATCTCACATGTCAAACAATCCGAAAGTATCTCAATCCAAAGATCGCAGTCAGCACAGATCCATGTGACTTGTGGCATGGTGGAAACGAGGGCTCGGAGTTGGGTGCAGATCAGGCAGGGTTTAGAGGGGGTTGTTTTTGTTCAACATGCTCCCCTATCTGCAACGCAAGCAAAACACAAATGGTATTCTCCCACTCTCTCCAACAAACATGAGGCAGACCAACATATTGTACTGAGATTATGACAGCTCATGGTTAGTATCCTCCTTGTGACTACTGAAGTTAATTATTCGCCTGGTTCCCAGGGTCGACGGCCACTGAGAGTGGAAGTCATTCTGGATAGTCAATGAACAACCACGCCTACATGTTGCGAATCACTGGCTGGGGCATACTTTGTGATCATTGTAGTACCTACGCGCTGTTGCTCCTTCAAGTCAGAGATGCATTTGCTTAGGTGACATTGGAAAGTGACCTACATAACAAGTGAGCGTGAGCCAGGGACCCTCCAAAGGTCACTGATCGGATCCATTCCTATACCTGAAGCATTCCACGTGGAATCCCAGGGAGCGAGGCTTGCGTGGTAAAGTGTCCTGGTAGTTGAAGCAGCTTACGGATATCACTGCGCACTGCGAGGAATGCCCCACCAGTGGAATCCTGTGGGCAAAGGCAGGAGGATTCGGGTGTCCCATGGCTTCGCGTTCCCTCGGGCAAGTTTCCATGTCTTGTGCAGATCCATCTTGCCCTCTAAAGAGCCGTCAATAGATCATTCTGACCTCATTCGGAAAGCGCATCCAGGCTCCGAGCTTAGTCTTGCAAACTCTGCTCTGCTCCTTCGGTCGTGCGTTATGCCCCCAAAGGGCCATTGAACCATTAGGTCAGCGAGAATCCTCTTCACCGCTGACGTTTTCGCACTTGCAATCAGTCTGCAGGCGATTGAGCTCGAGCCAAAGCAGGGGCAGAACGCCAAGAGCCCGCACACCCAGACTCCTTGGAACAGAGGTTTGAATGCTTCTTGTTGCTTCTTGTTCTTGCTTCTGGTGGTTACTTCTTGTTGCTTCTTGTTCTTGCTTCTGGTGTTTGCTTCTTGTTGCTTCTTGTTGCTTCTGGTGTTTGCTTCTTGTTGCTTCTTGTTGCTTATTGTTCTTGCTTCTGGTGTTTGCTTCTTGTTGCTTCTTGTTCTTGCTTCTGGTGTTTGCTTCTTGTTGCTTCTTGTTCTTGCTTCTGGTGTTTGCTTCTTGCTGCCTTCTGTTGCTTCTTGTTGCGTCTAAGCTCTTGTTGCTTACTGTGTGCCTTGCTGGGATTTGGCGACGTCCATTTCCCAGCGGGAGCAAAAGTTCATCAGCCTCTCTTTTTGATTGCTGAAGGCGTGCCGATCATCAATGGAGGTGTAAGGTCGGGGACAGAGAAGGGGCACAGCTTCTCAAATAAGAGTCCTTTCCAGTTAGTTTCACTAAGGCGTCGATGCCCTCAAGAAGTGTGAGAACGATGCTCACGTCATTATCGCTGTGGCAAAGCTGTTCTGGCGAGATGGCAAGAATGCCAAAGCACGAAAGTGGCTGGGAGCTCGGTGAAAATTCTTCCCTGTGATGCCAGACCTGTAAACATCTACACATGAACTGTTGGAGCCTACGTGACTTACTTTGCGCTTAAAATTCTTGACTGCTGCCTTTGTGTCCATATTCGAAACCCGTCCAAGCCAGTCTCTTCACATGCTGCTTTGTTCAAGAAAGAAGCAACATGTGGCTGTTGCTCAAAAAATGGCACCCAAGCTTGGCAAATGGAAACAAAGACCAAACCTGCGGTTTGCCCTGACTGGAAAATTTTGCGCAACCCGCATGTGAGTTGCCGAGGTTCAATCGCGCGGTGACGCTGAACCCCCGGCTGGGCGACGCCAGGGCACTCAGGAAGCGAGCAGTGCACAGTTTGCTAAAAGGCCACGTTGGCAAGATCAACTCTCCTGGGTTGTTGGAAGGCGCGGTGGCCTGCATTGGCGTTGCCACAAAAGGGCAATTTTGGACATGTGGGGCAGGCAACGAGTGGTGCAATGATGGCTATTCCACTAAGCCACGGAGTCGGTTGCGGCCAGCCAACTCAATGGTGTCATGGGAATGCGAAAGCTGCCTGACGCTTCATCTATAAGTGGCAACCGTTCCCTGCTTTCCTGCGAGGCTTGGGGTGCCTATCTCGCCTTTGAGCTGGAGAACGGAACCTCCCATGAGCAGCGGGAGGCATTTCCCTTTTCCGTTGCTGAGCGGTGTGTGTGTGTGTGTGCGTATTCACATACACATTATACCTAATTACCTCTCTCCCTCTCTCTCTTTGTTTTTCTCCCTCCCTCTCTCCCTCTCTGACTGCAGAGCAGCAGGGATCAGTGTGATCCCAAGTTAGCTCTGACCTTCTCGCGCGAAAGCAAAAAACATCCAAAACCAAGCGCACTGCACTACGTGCCAGGTCATCCGCAAGTGCGTTGACGCAGAGCCCAACCAGGCAACCCGCATTCTGTGAAAGTATGACAAGCTGGACAGTATTTGAGAGTTCTTTGTAAACTCATGTTGTTCATTCTAAGCCGGACTGTATTTGTCATTTGCACAATTGTCCGTGGCCTTGAACCGGGGTTCTGACTGTGCATTCCGCTAAGGCTGTTCCCAAGGATGCCATGACAAGTGATCCCCACTTAAAAGGACAACGGGTTCGGCGCCCTGGCTTGTACTTGAGCCAAGCCTCCACAGGTGTCTTTGTTGGCTTAGTTTGAATAAAAATAGGTGGCAGTGGTATGAAGGCCTTCTATGCAAGCCTCGTCAGGGTCTGGACTGGAACAAGATTGTCAAGAAGGTGGCGAACTGGCGGGCCAAGTGGGCGCGGCCGCCGAGAGAAGAATAAGACCAACATGACCTGAGGAGGGTACCGATGTGATTGGAGTTGGGGGCGGTTTACGGTGGATGGACGAAATCCATTTCGCACCACTTTGAAACCATGGTTGACATCATTGTTGGTGGGTATTTACAGGGGAATTATAGTGTCAAGGTTTTTATGTGGTGCAGGATTTCGTCCATCCACAGTATGTAGCTATGACTTGCAGGGCAACGACATCCCAATGTAACGTGGATAAACATGTCGCAATGCATGCTTCTAAAAGGAATGCAAGCGCACAGGCAGCGCATCCAGCTGACATAAAGGTGCACGGTTTTCGTGCGCAACGTTGGCACATGACAGTAGATACAGGACACAGAAGAGGCTGGTCTAAAGCATCCTGTCCTCCCAACGACAAGCCCTGGCATAAACCGCTTCAGGACCCAGTTGTCACTTAGGTCCCAATGCAGAAATATGGGATAGAGCCTCCCTCCCAAACATAGTCGGGGGCTTCAGATAAAGCAGCCCTTGGATACCGATGTGGAAATATTAGCAGGTTCCTCACAGCCTTCAGCCATTGATAGCCATTGGCGCATTGGACAAGGAGTGTTTTGCAAGCACATCAACTTGGGCAGGCCTATGTTCCGAAGAATTTTCAGATATGGAATCTGGAGGTCTAGAAGTTATATTGCAAGTATAAAAGATACATTTACTTGCCAACTTGCCACCCAAAGCCATACGTCAGAAGCACATCCACCCGTCCACCCATCCATTCACCAACTTGTATTGGTGGGAAAGGAGAGCTTCCGTAGCTCAAGCCATACCGCCAGCACCCGATGCTTCTGATCGCTCAGGCTGTGAAGCTGAAGCGCTTCGTTGAGGAGGCGGGAAGCTTTTTGTAGCAACAAGTTGAGTGCGTGGGTGCGTGTGCGCGTGTGGGTGTGCGTTTTTGTTTGTTTGTTTGGTTTGTTTTGTTTTGTTTCTGTATGTGTGTGCCACGTATCAACTAGGACTGTTTGGCACTGTGTGAACTGGCCACAACGAATAGGTTACGATCGTAAGTGTGTCACTAACCAGGATCCCTTTTTCAGGTGTTTTTTGTGCGTTAGAATGTGTTCAGAGTGGATCTGACAAATTCGACCGGACAATGCAAGTTGAGGTTTCCCATTTGAGATGCCATTTGAGTAGCTGAGTGATGAGTCCTTGGGTTTGCCTTTCGCATGCCCCTTGCTTTCCGTTGAATCATTTCCCTGGACTCTATGTAGGTTGCTTGCTCAAGAATGTGTGGACATGCTATATATATATATATATACACTGTCTTGCGTCGTAGCTGTTTGTGTGGTAACTAGGAAACGCGTCTGCGATTTGTTCGACTGCTTGCTTGGTTCCGGCGAAGTCCGAGGCAGGAGGCACTGTTTGCCAAGACCTGTCCGGACGTTCAAGCGCAGGTGTACCCACAAGAGTTCAACGCGAAGCCTCTGAATCGTGAGGCCTGAGCCCAAGGAATGTAACATTTCGGCGTCATATGCATCGGACAAGTCAGAGATGCAGAGTTTGACCTATGAGGTGCATAGACCTTGTCTCATCGTCTTTTACTTCGCAGAAGGTTCAACGCCCCCCTTTCCAAAGCAACCACTCACAGAACCCTTATTTGGGAATGGGTCAAATTTAAACCACCATGGGACCACAGGTTTAATCAATGTTTCCATTTACCAGGGCAAGCCATTTTGGGGTTACCCTATTTTTGACCCACAGCCACCTGGGGTCATTTCATTTTGAGGGTTTCTGCCATTCAAAGTCAGGAAATGGGATCCGTTGTTTCCCGTAACCCACTTCGGGGGTGACTTTGATGGTAAAAGAATTCCCTCCGGATCAGGACTTGGGTGACTTTGGTAAAATTCTGAGGCCAGCCTTGGTTCCATGGCGCCCGCCGAGCCGCCCGAGCCATGCAGCCATGGCCCAGGTGGAGCTCCTGCTGCAGGGCGAGGATCCTTACGCCGCCATGGCCACAGCGCAGGAGGAGGCCATGGGATTGACTCACATAGCCAGTGGACACCAACAAATTCCACTTTGGGTGGCTCTCCCTCCCAAAATGTGTACACTTTGGGGCTGGTCACTGGCCAAGTGAGTTGAGGCCTTGTTGTGGCGCCCTTTCCATGGTTGTTGGGAAGCATTTTATATATTTTTGCTTATTGTGGTTTAGTGGTTGAAATCCAACGGCTTAACTGCTAAAATTTGATTTGTTGCCCCCCTTCCAATGTCAACCAAGTTTCTGGGGGTTAAGGAAGTCGCCAGTTTGGACCCGTATATATGGCGGGGGTTGATCAAAAGGTCCGGTAGACATGGGATGACCATTGGTTCACGGTGCATACTTGATATCATGGCGGTGATACTTCCATTCGGATGACATTTCCATTGGGAAAAGTTACCCATGGTCAAAACTGGGGGCAAAGAGGATTGACCAACCCCCGCTGGGGAACAGAAAAGGGTTGCTTCGTGCATGGCGTGCAGGATCGTCTTTTATCGAACCCAGCATTCCGCATCCAGCATTTGTTTTTCCGAAAACCAGGAATGGAACTACTGTGCCCTTGGCAAGATGCAAATCAAGAGCTCCGTTCAAAGAAATGGCAGTGGGTCAAAACCAAGGGTACCATTTTGGGGTAAGTGCACCACCCATTTTAGTCTATTTTAGTGGGGATTGGGATGTTCACTGGGGGTACGATTTGGATTTTGACCCATGGCCAAATGTATACTTGCCGCTTGCCGCTTGCCATACGCCTTGGGGCAAGCTGTCTGCATTTGTTCAGCTGAAGCTTTTGGCCCCTTGGATGTCACCATGAAACAGTCAATCCACTTCAAATTTGCTCAAGAATGGTTCTTTGTATTTTCCTTTTTTGGCTTAGGGAATCTATTGGACATATGCTTTTTGTTTGGTCCAGACTTAAGCAAATGGAAGCCCCGAAACTCCGCCTGACTCCAGAGAAACCTGGAGAATCTATGTGGGTTGAAGTGTATTTGCCTGAGCAGTCGACAAGCTAGGCGAGGTAAGTTGGCGCATGTGGGTTGTATTTGTTTGTGAGGGAAATGGACAATGGAACTATCAAGTTCTACTTGGTTTTTAGGGTCAGAGCAGGCAACGTTGGGTGCACCTGTCGCAGGCAGCAGCTGAGAAGGATGAGCTGGATGTCAAGGATGAGGCTGTGACAAATTGTGAGCCTCACCTTTTGCCCAGCCTGTCTTCTTGAATGGGAAAGGTGGTCACAGGAGATATGTGGAACATTGTGGAACATGTGTGACTGGCGCGCTTACGTGGTTTGCACAAGCAAGATACTCTAGCATATCGGCGAAAATTGCAGAAGACCTGAGATAACAATCTCGCGTTCCATTGCGCGAGTATCGTATCACCGGAGTGTTCATTCATATCGTGAGCGAAGACAAGGCGACAGATGCCCTCTCAGCTCAATTGGTGTAAGGTGCGTTCTCAGATTGCCCACCTTCCTGTGATGCTGTCTTGACGAGGGGTAAGATTGGCAAGTCTTAGGTCCTGGTAGTGAAACTTTCTGAGGCCAGAGAAGCGCGAATCTTACAAAAACAATGGCCCAAGGCTTGGAGACAATTGTTTTCATGTTCTGAAGACATGGTTTAAGTTTAGACCCAGTGAGGTTTGGCGTGGGTCTTGGAGTTATTTCAGAGAGATAATTGAGTTCGGGTATATATATATATACATATTAATATACGCGTGTATCTTTGAGCCAAATCTCGGGTTACGACAAGACCCAGCATACACAACTACATCGCCAGCATCCCCAGCTAGGCGCGGCGCATCACGTCTGTGTATAAAATGGGCATTTCATGCAAACTCTGAGACTCTTTTCTTTCGCAAAGACATATTGGTTTCGGCCTTCGGCCAGAGGGGAGGGCGCAGTCACACTCCGGCTTTGCATAGCCTCCACTCCGTCTTTGACTCTCTGCACTCGGGGTTGGGTGGGCGGGACAAAAACTCTAGGAACTGCGTCCCTACCCTTCCCACCACTTGGGCCCCAGTGCGACGTGCATCATGTCAAATTCCACAACTGCGCTCCAAACCAGTTGTGATTTCGAAGAGCCACTAATTGTGGCACGGTTGACATGTTGGCACGTGTCTGGTTTAAAATAGAAATACAAGTCACTTGACCGAAAAAGCAAATCGAACAGCTGCTCTCGGTCTACATGCATTGCTCGATTGATAACACACAAAGACACAACGTATTTCGCGCGTGTCATGTGCGAAGGTGTGTTCCAAACCTCAAGCTATTTGGTTGACACACACACAGTGGGACACACACAAGACCCGAGACGCTACTCTGTTTGACCCAAAGATAGGTTTATCAAACACGTTTGAAAATGACCATCTTTGAGCCAAATCTCGGGTTACGACAAGACCCAGCATACACAACTACATCGCCAGCATCCCCAGCTAGGCGCGGCGCATCACGTCTGTGTATAAAATGGGCATTTCATGCAAACTCTGAGACTCTTTTCTTTCGCAAAGACATATTGGTTTCGGCCTTCGGCCAGAGGGGAGGGCGCAGTCACACTCCGGCTTTGCATAGCCTCCACTCCGTCTTTGACTCTCTGCACTCCTCCACCCCTCTTTTCAACCATGCCCTTTGCGTCGGCACAAGTCACAGAGTCGACTCTGCATTCAGGAAACTCAGAAAAGTCTGCCTGGACAGCAGTGCGCTGACTAAGGCAGGCGGTATTGTGAAATCCGGCCCTCTCAGGCACTGGGCAGCGCAAACCTCATCTTGCCAATAGTTTCTCGAAGGCCCGTCGGCGGGATTTGACTTTGAAGGCACTCTGCAAAACCACGGCAAGCACTCCGCCTTGGCCAGCGCTCTGTGAACGAGGGCCAGCATGGCAAACAGTCCCGGGCAAGGGGTATTGCCTTTGGCCAGCATCTGCCTAACACCGTTGTTGTCGCAAAAAAGGAGCACTCGTCTTCTCCACAGCATGTCTGCAGCCGACTCACACACTGAAAGCACTGGCAGCATTTCCAGTTCGCTAATGAGTTGGCGTTTGCCCGCACTTTGCCAAGCAGCCACCAGATCCGGAGGCACCACCACGCTGTGCGAAGAACCCCTCTGGCTGGCGGTGTCCCACAACACCGCTCCTGCCCCATACTTCTGCTCAGCATCCGGTTCAAACGCACCATCAGTGAAAACTAGCATAGGCCTGCAGTCATCATGAATGCCAAACTCCCTGGGGCGCGAGCCTCTCACAACAGCATGCAGATACGAAACGACCTCGGGCAGCAACTCCCTGTCCGCCTCCTTGCAACCCCCCGCAGCTATCTGGCTAAGAAACTTCGCCGCAGGCTCCAACGCTCGCCCTTGAAAGTGTCCCTTGGCAAAATTCAAGACTCCATGCATTGACGCTGCTTCTCCAGGGCTTATCCAACCTGATCGCACCCACGCCTCACTGTTCGCGACTATCGCCTCCACACGGCTGGGTTTGTTGGCCAAGGAAACCGAGGTGCCCCTCAAAGAGCACACAACGCCCAGCACCTCAAAGGAGTCGCAGTAAGGTTTTGCCTTCTTGCCCTCTTTTGCAAAACGCCATCCAAGCTCTTCTAGCAATCCCTCCATGGTCTCCCTGGCCGAGCCCGCCGTCTCACGCGTCTCTATAGAGGGATAATCATCGTAGTAGTTTGTGCTCCATTGCCACAAGAAAAACTGTCCCAGATGCCAAAGGCTTCTCGACACCCTGTTGAACGAGTAAACGCTGGCCGAGCTCCCGAACATCAGAGCCCGCGTCAAGAAAAACCTGGGCTCCTTTCTCTCAGGATCATAGGCCACCAAAACGCGGCTCCAGGCCTCCTTGGGGTCCACCGCGAGTTGTTTGTAGGCGTCTGTCAAGTCCAGGCATCTTCCCAGCAGATCTACCTCGGCCGGCCAGTCAGCTGCCAGCTCTGCCGTTCGCAGCGAGCCATCTGCCATAGCAACTGTCTGCCGTCCCTTCCCTGCCAGGCACCTTCGAATGAGCAGCGCTAAAGCCGTCAAAGTGTCCAGGTCGTGCAACCGCAGCTTATTCGGGGTCGAATATGAAGCATTCAAGCCAGACTCCAGCCCATCGTCTATGATACGGACCTTCGTCTTTTGCCTCAAAGGGAACCTCCGTGTTGCCAGCCAGCTGGATGTCCCCACCAGCGCCGTCACCTCCTCTTCGGAGAACGGCCCTTGCAACCAACCCTTCTCGACCTCCAGCAGAGTCTGTTTCCACAGCTCAGCATCAAGCTCAGGGTCACGTTCCTGGCACTTTGCAACTGACGCACGTCTCCACCAGTGGGCCTTGGCTTGAACTTCGCGCTCGGACATGTTCGGCACTTGGTATCCATGAGGCATCTCCTCGGACAAGCTTGCCGGCCCCGTCATCTTGACACCTCGAACAACTTCATCCCAAATTGAAAGGTCCTTGTATCCAGACTCCTCAAGCAGCTTCTTCCACAATAACAAGTTCTTGCCCTGCAAAATGCATTCCACGTCCGGATCCAACTTCGCATGCAGTCTGACTTCTTCGGCAGCCAGTTGGATCCTCAGCCGCTTGATCTTCGCCAGGCTCAAACGCCTCTTCAAGTTGGTGAGCTTAGGCCCCATCCTCAACACTTGCAAGACGCTGTTTGTAAGCTGATCTGGGACGAGGCGAACCACATCGACAGGGTGCCGAGCTCCCTGCGCCGCGCACAAAAACTCTCCAGGCGATCTCCAATAACCAAACTCGCACGCTCTCTTCTCGGGGTCTCCGCTGCAAAAGACAGTATGTAGCTTAGGCTCATTTTGCACTTGGCTCCAGACTCTCGAAACCTTTGCATCGCCTGAGTTCCTCAGGCTGACATCCCGAATGCGCATATTTTGGTCCCCTTGCGTCTGGTCTGCACTTCTGCCACCACTACTCTCGGTCTTTCGCTTCACCCCCTTCTTTTCAAGAGACTTTACCCAGCCTGCCTGAGCTGCTGAGTCGAGCTCCACATCCGCAATCATGGCAAATTCTGACACCAGAGGGGGCATCGAGACAATGCCCCAGGCCCGGGCCGCCCGCTTCTCGCCAGCGAAACCTGCTGAGCTCAGGGTGTCCGGGAAAACGGTGGCTCCGCGTTTCTGGCATTCTGTCACCACAAGCATGGCGACCCGACGACATAACAGGTCGGGATATGCTGCTTCCTCCGATGTCGGAAAAAGTAGTCGTCCCTTGTCCACTGATGGTTCCCACGAAAGGTGTGTGTGGCTGCCATCACAAGACTTCCGCAACGGTCGGAGGAAGTTAGGAGAGGACAGGAAAGTGGTCCACTTGTCCCTCCGGCCTCCGTGCGCGCATGCCTGAAACTTGTTAAATTCCAACCGCTGCCACGCATGCCGAATGAAATCTGGCGCACGTTGCTGAAACTGCTCCATAATGCTCCACATGTAGCTGCCAGATGGGTTTTCGCATGAAACCAAAATGTTCCTCTCGACAGCCACACTCATACAGAGCAGAGTTGCTGCATACAAAAAGTTCGCAGTCTGCACGCGCTGCTGCTGTACCTCCGTCAACCCAGGCAAGCCAAGCAAATGGTGATGGCTCCTGAGAGGGGGCGCCCTGACATGCTTCAACCACTTTGGCATTGGCTTCTCGCGCGCTTTGCTTGCCGTACCACAGGGCGGAGCCGCATGGAAATATGCAATGTTGGCCGTCATGAGCAACTGCAATAAAATCTGAAACTGCTGCGGCTTGGTCACGTCCAGAAGCACTAACTTGACCTTAGGCCCTCGGGACCTGCTGTGGTCAATGGGCAAAACCTGAAAATGTTGGCGTTGCATCTCAGCCGACAGACCGGCGGTGCCCGCGAACAACTCTACTGCAAAAAGTTGGTCCACCGGCTGACTCCAATCCACTGGCTTCATCTGCCGCCAATCAAACGGTAAGTGAAACTCATAGCACTGAATTCGGACGCTGAGCCCCTCGCCCTGCGTCACCTCGTCTCAGTTTTTGCTGCATTCCGACCCGGGGTGCCGGCCATGGCACCCCTCCTTCCAACACAGGTGTTTCCCCTTCTGACACTCAGCCTCCTTCTGTTTGACACATCGACATCTTTGGTAAGCAAAGCAGACCCGATCTCCGTTACTTAGAACGGCCACGCACCCCGCCGGAATGGCGGGGCCTTTGTTCTTGCCGCCGCCTTTGCCTTTGCCTTTGGGCCTTTTCGCCGCAGGCCCCGAGTCGGCCTTGGGCGCCTCCCTCTTCGCACTTGAACCTGAAGTTGCAGCCTCAGGAGCCAGTGGGAGGAACATCAAAAATTGCTTCACCTCCGGGGAGTCCATGGCGGCAGTAATCGCCTCGTTCAGAGGCTTAGGCGCGGCAGTGTCTAGGACCTTTCCCACCGTTGCCAACGAAGCCTCAATCCACATCTGTTTCTCTGCAAATACAATCTGCTGCAAGGAGACGGCTCTGAATCCCCGAACAGGTTCGCGGCTCAGGTAAGAGAAGAGTTTCGTAATCGCTCGTTCCAAAACCTGATACGATGCAGCGCCCACCAAGTGGTAAGCCAGAGCCCTCCTCAGCATGGCAGTGCGGATCTTGTGCTCTCCGGTCGGCTCGTGATGAACTCGCTGCTCCTTCTTCGTCATCCTGAGCGTGCCATCAACTTGAAACTCAATAGCCGAATCACGCTTCCTGTTGCTTATTTCCCACTCCCTGCTTGTACAGTCGTGCAGCTCGATGTAGGAAATAGATTGGTCCTCACACTGCTGAAGACAAATGTCAGTGAGCCGATGAGACGGCTCGAACGCCGCGTCAATGGTGATTCCTGTCAGCTCATCTCGGGCCAACTTCAAACGCTGAACCCGCTCGGGCAGGCACATTTTCCGAGGCGCCTGATCATCTCTTCTCTCCAGCCGCTGCTTCATGTCACTCAGCGCCAAAGTTTGACTCTCAAAATAGAGCCTCCTGTACGGTATGACTCGAGGGCCCGAGATCTGCTCCGTCAGTTCAAGAAGCTCAGTCAAAGCCTCCAGAAGCGGTCGCTCGTCGATCGATTGAGGATTCTGCATTGGTGCACAAAATGCAAATGTGCTAAACGTGTTGACACCTTTGTCCCCCAACATCTGCAGGTCCCCTTCAGGGATCCCAACCGCGAGGGCTCTCTGTCGAAAAGTGGCTTCCGACTCCATGGCTCGCGAACTGACCGATTCTTACTGGAACTCGCGGTTTGTTACATGAGTGCGTGTACCCGCTTAAGTGAGAAAAACAATTCAACACACTGGCACATCCGATAGCACCTCTCGAGCCAGCACACTCCGGGACCGAAGACCCTCAAACGATTACCATCGCAACTCCGCTCGTGCTCAACTCGGCTCACACATGCGGCAGCTCTTCCCGTGCCGACAAACTCTGCCTAGCACCGACTGGCACCAAGCTTCACTCTGGGTCGCCCCTCAGCTCTCTTTTAGACTCACTCCGCCTTGCCTCAATCCAGAACTCCGGCAAGGCTCGGCTCCCTTCAAGAGAGGACTTAAACATTCACAACTCGGGACCAGGATTTGCTGCACTGTCTACACATGGGTGCGTCTGCTGACTCCGATTCGGCAACCGCCATGTACGCCAAACCCAGCTTTCGCCCACACAGCAACTCACTCCCCTGCTCCTCCACAAGGATGTGGAGCACCCCAGAGACCTGGTGGCGCACCAACTCACAGGTATTTCTGGCCTGCTGCTCAACTTCCTCCGGGTCTTCCAGCGTTTCAGAGGCTACCTCGGATTCTGAAGAGGAGACGTCCTGATCCTCCTCAGGAGGTTTCCACTCTTGATCATGCTCATCAACTTGCTCCATGAGACCCTTGACGGCCAGGCTTACTCGCTTGGCAACCGAAGCATCGGGATCAAAACTCCCAGCCTTCACCTGCTGCACAATGACTGCTGTCTTGGCCAGCACTGATGACAAAGCGTCACGACTATACGTCAGCGCAGAAGTTGACCCAGGATCCATATGGTGCCCCATAACCCGTTGCTCCTGCTGGCTCAGCAAACCTGAAAGGCTTCCCCAAGTCAGCAAAGTGACTTTCAAAGAATGAGAACTGAGGCGAGATCCTTTGACCTGCTGCTTAACCGACAGCATGTCTCTCAACCACTGCGACCCTTCTGCGGTGGTCATTGCACACCGCTGCCAACGGCCCTGCATCTCATTGTACGAAGGCATCACAACGGGCAGGAACTGATCCATGTTTGCACTAGCTCTCAAACTCATCCAATGCTCTGCCCAAGGCTCATCATGCATGAACTTGCCCAGGCCCATGAGAGGAAGAAACTTGGTCTTCCTCTCCTTTGTGGATGAGGTTTTATGGACTAAGGTCCCAGCTCGAATAACCATGGTGCCCTCGTCCTTGATCACTTCGAAATTCGTCGCGAACAAAGCATCTCCGAACCTGCAGCTGGTGGCCAGGCAAAACATAAGGTACCCCGCGATTACTCCCATCGCTTCGGAGAGTGGAGAGATCACCATGTTCTCCAACCGCCTCACTTCAGGCACAGATAGCTGCCTTGCCTGACACAGTGGTTGTTTCTTGCAAAACATGTCGAAGGCCACCCCCTTGACACGGTTGCTCAAACTGGCAGGCTGATAATGCACGAACGTGACCATGGCATGCAGAAAATTGACTGACTGCACAAAAGACTCCCCAGACGTTGCTCCCCGACCTGATTCCCTCATAGCTGAAAGATATCTATACAAGGACTCTTCACTCGGGACCAACGCCTGCTTCTCCATGCCACGCTCCTGCCTTGCCCAACAGTAATATCGCCAATAAGCGCGAACCCGCTTGTAGACCGTGCTCGAAGCCTTCCGCCTAAATGTGTCCTCGAGGACAAGAGACATGGCCTGCTGGTCAGGTGATGCCTGCAACAACATGCCACCCAGCAGAGTAGCAGAATAATCGTAAGCCAGCATTGTCTTCAAGAGGTCAAATGCCTTGGCCTTGATAACCTCGGACTCCACCGATGACCTGCTCAGGCGCACGCGCTTGGCTGCTCCAGGCAGGGTAGATTTATCCGCAGCTCGCGGATCTTCCACCTGCAACTCACGTCCTTGCAAGTGGTCTCTGAAACCTACCAAAGTTCCTTCGCAATACCTGGGCGTAACCCTAGCTGAAAGAACGGCCGGGTCGAAAACGGCGGCAGACGAAGACACCTCCCAAGGCATGCAAGGTGGCACGATGATACCATTGTAAATCCGCATCCTCAATACAAAATCGTTCGGATTGTTATCTGTCTGCACATTCATTGAAAAACCTGCAGCAGTTCGTGGACCGGTAACAGGTTCTCCCGTGGCTTGCGGCCCGAGCCTCTCTCTCTGCGCTGGTTTGAGACCGTCCACGGAAAATGCTTCATGGCCCGAGGGAGGTCGCAGGTTGCTTTTCAAAAGCAAAACCGGCTCTCGCGATCTCTGTTCCAGCAAAACATCAAAATCTTCTTCGCATGACCAACTCTCATCTGGAGTATCTGCTGCATCTGCCCCATTACTGGAAGCTGAAACTTCACCTCCACAGAGCGGGGCTTCAACAACCAGTTCCTGCATGTGTGGCCCTTCAGAATTCGGACCAGTTTGTCGGCGACTCTCATCTGTTAATAGGCTGCCTTCCGGATGACCAAGTCGATCAGTCACCCCACTTTTCCGATACCGCTTGACAACCGAAACAGGCTTACTCATAAGGCAAGTGCCGGGACAAGGAGTCCAAAAATCGGCGCTGAAATCGCTGCAAATACACGCCAATGCAGTTGAACCGCCGCTGCAAGGCACGTACCCGATACAGCTGATATGTGAGAGACGCCCACCGTTGCACAATACGGGGGCGAAAACGCCGCACACAGCACTGCCCCATGAACCGACAAAAACTCTAGGAACTGCGTCCCTACCCTTCCCACCACTTGGGCCCCAGTGCGACGTGCATCATGTCAAATTCCACAACTGCGCTCCAAACCAGTTGTGATTTCGAAGAGCCACTAATTGTGGCACGGTTGACATGTTGGCACGTGTCTGGTTTAAAATAGAAATACAAGTCACTTGACCGAAAAAGCAAATCGAACAGCTGCTCTCGGTCTACATGCATTGCTCGATTGATAACACACAAAGACACAACGTATTTCGCGCGTGTCATGTGCGAAGGTGTGTTCCAAACCTCAAGCTATTTGGTTGACACACACACAGTGGGACACACACAAGACCCGAGACGCTACTCTGTTTGACCCAAAGATAGGTTTATCAAACACGTTTGAAAATGACCGTTCCTATGTTCTCGGTTCTAGGCCCCCCCTGATGGTAACCCCCAGGAGTGGTTGTGAGTGGGGGAGGTTTTGGGTGGTTGGCTAAGGGGCTCGCTAGGTTAGAGTCGGCTGGGTGTGGAGGTAGCAGGGTGTACACTGGAGCTAGCCCCGGTACCATGAGCATGGGTACCTAGAACCTGGAACGTGGGTGTTTCTCAAAATTGGGACCACCTCCAGGTAGCTGGTGTTTATGGGTGTCCTTTCAACATCATCCAAGGGGTCTTTATTTTGAGAGGCACCCATATGTAGGTTTGTGTGGTGATGGATGCGGCAATCGATATCGGATCATGAGAAGTGGGGCCAATGTATGATGGCTTCAGGGCGGCGTGAAGATGGAGTCCTTCGAGCCAGTTTGGAGCCTAACTGCCAAGCACAACTGGGTCGTCCAACCAGAAACCTCGCCTGCAACAGCTGACACCAGGTGTTCAACCAATGGAATCGTCAGAAGTTGCGATTCAAGCCATGCTGGCTGATATCATGTCGCAGTTGTGGCCTCCTGCAGAGGGGATGCCCGTGATATGTTAAAGCATGCATGTTCCATGCATTGGATCACACGTGTTGTGTTTGTCTTCGCTGGAGAAAGACGCTGACATGAGTAGTTAGCCTGGGCAACGTGACATCTTGAAAGGAAGTTACGCCTATGCTGACACTGGCTTTCCTGGCCATAGCCCTGTTCGGAAGCAGGCATGATTAGAAGGCATCTGGCAGGTATCCAGCACATGTTGCTTAGCCCAAGAAATCATCCTGGAATCATCCACCACAGGCTTCAGGTCATTGCAACGCATGGCTGCCATGGCTTCAAGAGGACTCCAAGAGGACTGTGGCAAACCGTATCCAAGGCCACATCATTCCAGGGAGCACGACCTGGCTGGTGCTTCAAGATGGGCCTGCACGCTGAGAGGGGTTGAGCACATGGCCTCGGGAGGGCGGCCAAACGGTTGCGTTGGGTCGGGTTTCTGGATATTCTGCACCGGTTTTTGGTTGTCTGCAACAGAGAAGTGGGCTTTTTGCAGCTGTCGCAATGTACTCGGAGGCTGTGGTGGTCAAAACCGTTTTGGGATCCCATTTTTGGGGGATAGGTGAATTCACCACCCATTTTGGGCTTCCTATTTTAGTGGGTGGACTGAATCGGATGTTCACTGGGGGGTAACCGGAATTTTGGATTTTGACCCATGGCCAGTTGAAGCAAAGCCCGCGTTACGAGATCGCCGTGCTGAGGCATGCGTGGCTTGGGCTACTACCGAGACCCCAAGCAGGACTTGGGCGTCAAAGGGGCCGCGACCCAAGATGGACCTGGCTGTGGGTCAGAATTAACCCAGGATATGGACCGCAGATTTTAGTCCATGTTTCCTCTTACCAGGGCAAGCCATTTTGGGGTTACCCTATTTTTGACCCTCAGCCACCTGGGGTCATTTCATTTTGAGGGTTTTTGGGGGTTATCAAAGTCAGAAAATGGAATCGGTTGTTTCCCTTAACCCACCACTTCGGGAGTGACTTTGATCATGGTAAAATAATGAGGCCAGATGAAGACGTGGCCTGGAGAATTTTCTCCACGCTTGGTCACCCTATCCCGTCCATTCTCCTTTTAATCAGCACTGATTCGCTTGAAGAGGGGTCTTTCTTTGTGGCACCATCTATTGCGTTTTTCCCAGACTTGTCGAGCATTTGCCCCCATGGCAGAATGAACTGCCGGTGCCGTCCTTTTAGCCCGCGGATTGTGAGGGAGGAGGTACGTCCACATTGTAAATTTGGGAGTGAGAGAGAGAGAGAGAGACAGAGTGAAATATTATAGAGGCAGGAACGCAGTACAGGTATTCATGTTGCTTGCAAAGGGGTCGAATTATTCGACTAAGTTTCCACGATACTGGGGCAATTTGTAGTTGCACATCAGGGTTGAGCAGTACAACATTTCAACATGGGTTGTGTTGGTGCACGTCCGAGGAAGTCAAGCAGGAAGGCAAAGCGAAGGTCAAGGAAGAAGACGAGAAGAAGGACGAGAAGAAGTGATGCCCATAGGCTTCCCA